AGAGGAAGGGGGAGTGGAGGAGGAGGAGACCGACGATGAAGTAGAAGATGAAGAGGAAGAGGAAGACAGCATTGGGGAAGATGTTGTTGATGACAGGGATGGCGTCGGAGAGGTTGCAGCAGTGGTCGATGGTTGGTTTTGGTGCAGAACTGAGGACCAAAGATCAAATCTTTTGTTATTGTGTTCTTACTATTTCAACCATTTCAGTGGCGTTTCCCTGAAAATACAGAAAGAAAGATCACAATTCGATGTCTGAGGCAACAGTATCTCACTTGCACAGAACTCGTTGCCTCAGAATTATAAAGTTCTATAAGACATTTTTGGCCGTTTTTGGGTTACTAAGACTAAGACCATGGGGTCAGATACCAATTGTTCTATCTGTTCCATCAAAATCATAAGTTTGTTCGGATTCTTTATCAAGATATTCAAAGAATTGCATTCGAAAAAGCATAACATTGTGAAACTCAAAAAAATGTTTATGTCAAATTTTTCCAAATAGGTAGATATATATCTAGGCCTACTGAGCTGATAGAACTTTGTAAAGCTAGGTACAGAACACGTTCCAGTTACATTCTTTGCAATGTGATGTAAATAGAGTTGTGAAGTAAGTAAGCCTGGAATCTATTTCGTCTCCAGTCAATGATGAGTGAGGGGTACGTAAAGTTTTTACGTTTATGCTGTTATTGTTTTTTTCTTCTTTTTTCCCCTTTTCTTTGAAAAGGAGGGGGGGGGGTGTCCCACGATAGGCGAAATGGACAAGCAAATTTAATGCTTTTATACCCCAATCGACACGATTTAGATCGGTAAGGAGTAGGGCTTCGACCCTGCCGCTAAGGAGTAGCTACGGCTTCGACCCTGCCGGCCAGGGCCAACCAGCACTGCCTGGGACACAGCTGTGCAGAAAGGCAGGGATACTGGATAAAAATTCTCCTCACTCAGGAACCGAACTCGGGTCTTCTGTTTGCGATGACGTAGTTCTAGTCCGCTACCCTACAGGCGCTGATCGAAATGGACTGTGGGATGGATACTGGTACAGACATTAGGAATGGCAGCAGCAGCAGCAGCAACAACAACAACAACAACAAAACCACAACAACCCAAAAAGAAAAACAAACGAAGAAAAAAACAACAACAACCTACTCACCAAGATATGCCGTCATGTTGACCAGATTAAGCGGCTTGGTGTACCGTGGACTGTGATTACACCACTCCCCCCTTGCCAACATGGCGTCAGTCGTCTGGCAGCAGTAGTGGCACTGCCCAATCTTGTCTGCACTCCAAGTGAACGGGTCCTTGCTGACGTCATCGGACATGCAGTCGGAGCGTTTGGAGGTTTTGTCCCACCACAAGTCTGTGCATTCCTGGATGCTCCCGCATCTAATAATAATAATAATAATAGATAGCATTTGTATAGCGCATATCCCCGCTCAGCAGCAGGCTCTATGCGCTTTACAC